CTTCTCCACGACAATGCACGTCCACGTGTGGCACGTTTGATGCAACACAAGATTACAGAGTTGGGTTGGGAAGTTCTCCGTCACCCACCATATTCTCCTGATATGGCATCATCAGCTTACCATCTTTTTCGTTCTCTGCAACACAATCTTAATGGGAAAATCTATGCAAATGTGGAAGGTGTTAAAGAGGACATCGACATGTTTTTTGCTTCAAACCAAGTGATTTCTTTAATCAGGGCATCAACAACCTAATTGGGAAAGCATCATCGATAAAAATGGAGACTATTTCATTTAATAAATGTTTTGTTTTTATTTTTAAGTTGTTCCAGTTTTTCATCTAAAAAAAAGCGACATTAATTTCTTGACGACCTAATACCTAACGTTATCTCCCGATAATTATGACATTATTTTTTGTGCTTCGCGTTGAATTTATGACGCTGAAGTACTCCCTGTATCTAATAACAGTAGTTCATTTAAACGTATTCTTTACTTTTAATATGTTATCGTAAAGACTCTTTTTACATAGAGAGAATTTCTTCCAAGAACACAAAAAATATTTTATATGATTTTTCTTTATGAATTATATTTTAGTCATCAGTAACTTATTTTTAGAGCAGATGATGACAACTTAAGTTGATGTAAGTTTAGCTTCGTCTTCGATGTTGATTGGGGGTGGTGGTGACATAAATAAAACAAGGAATCTAAATGCCCACCAGAAGCGTCAGAATGGTTACACACAAAGAACATCAGCGAATGACCAACTCGTAAGACAAGGCAGTATTTTTATGTAAGATGTAGTCGTTGCTCATTCAACTTGAGTCATAAAACGTCACTTGGTCAGGCCAGTCGCTAAATATTAACCCTGTTTGATATGTGTGTGGTTCATCCTTGCTTTTCACCTACAAAAATGACTCAAACAACCAACATCTAGGGACACCATAATCCGAATTCTTTGCCCGAAGTGGGTTGCAATCTCACAGACCCAAATTTCATATCTTAGAAGTACAATGTTAACCACGTTTTTGCCTTAAATACCGTTAAGGGCAGATTCTTTAACCACTAAGTGGCAATCTTTGTATCGTGTTTTTTTGTTTAGTTAATAAAACGTCGTTTTTTCTGTAGTGGGTGTCTGTTTATTTTTTTGTAGGCTGTGCATTCCCTAAGTACTGTAAATGTGTTTATTTTATAAAGTGGCTTGTTTTATTCATTTTCCACCAGATGGCAGCGTCGAGACGATAGAGCTAAACAAAAGTAACGAAGTATCGAGAGTATTCGTACATCAACTGAACCTGAGGTAAGCTTCTTACTAGATGTCACGAATTTTTTAGTTTTAAAATAAAAAATGGGGCTCTTCTTTTTTATTAAATACACCATCTATTTAGGAAAATTCTGTTCCAGAATTTTCTCAGGGAAAGCTCCATAATTGATTATTTTTTAAATAAACAAACAAACAAAAAGATGTGAGATTTATTGCTATCTTGTACTGAGTTGGATGGTTGAGTACCTCGAAATTATACAGATCTCAAACCTATGTACTTCGATCTAACTTTTGAACGCTACCATATATGTGTATCCAATTACGATAACTAAAGAGTGTAGCATAAATGAATAAATATAATAACTTTAAAAGAAACTAATAATTTATCTTAACAAGGGCTGAAAATAGTTCGAAATCACTGAGGCCATGAATGAAATCATTGTTGAGAAAAAAAGAACTGGCTATAAGTACAAATAGTAGTTCATAATAGTAGTTCAGCGGTATGTCTGCGGACTTACAACGCTAGAATCCGGGTTTCGATACCCGTGGTGGGCAGAGCACAGATCGCCTATTGTGTAACTTTGTGCTTAATTACAAACAAAATCCAGTTTGTATTTATACTGCTAAAAGTAGATACATAGTGGAAGTCTTTGTGAGAGATAATTAAAGTTAAGGAAGAGCGAAAAACCGAATCTGATTGGCTTCGTGTAACATCATAATATTTTGATGTATAATCTAATAATAAAGAAAATATTGCCCCTTTACAGATAATATAAAAGTTGATGATTTTATACCCTAGTGAAAATTATATAAAAATTAATGAAACCTGACAGACAAAATGAATTACACACATGCATTTCAGTTCACGTGGGTGACGTGTTATACTCTTAACTACATTACCATAAAGACAACAGATAACCCCAACGCACTTCGTAGAGCAGATAAATTAAACATGTACAGAAACAACCTTCCAGACGTGTTCTTCCATGGAGAAATGACACTGAACTTTACGGGTTTGGGTTCGTTGTTATGGAAACAGCCAGACGCAGTCATTGGAAGTTTGTTTTACGTTCTTGCGACATTTTATTAACAGCAGAGATCTTAATCAGGTGAGTAAGATGTTGCGTATACTCGGTTGTCAGTCAACGTAACAGTTCGAAGCTCGTGATGTACAGATGTACAGTGATATACAGTAACTATATTTCTCAGAAACGTTATTTTATTAATTTAAAAGAGTTCAGAAAAGTCTACTTATGGAATTTTGATGCATCGATACATGAACAGATTAAAATATACCGTTCAAAAACACTGTAAAAGAATAACATTTATTTATTCAGTAACAATGTTCGTGGTAAATGAACTTACACATGAACTTACAGAACTTGGTTTAAAACAGGTTTTGGTTGTTGGTTTGTTTATTTGTAATTAAGAACAAAGCTACACAATGGGCTATCTGTGCTCTGCCCATCACGGGCATCGAAACCCGGATTCTAGCGTTGTAAGTCCGCAGACATTCCGCTGTGCCACTGGGGGGCGACAGCTTTTGTGCTTTACCTGAGCATATAAATATAATAGTACTGTCTGTTGTATGTCCATGTAACTACTTCGCAGGGTGTGGATGGATCTTTAGCAATATTGGCATGGAGGATCATTAGGTCCATGCGGGGGTACATACAAATTTTCAGTTTTGCATTTTGCGCTTTCCAGTTTTATGGGCGTTTTTGCGTTTTTTTTAACCATTACTTCGCCTCCTATAGATGGATCTTCACCAGGTTTGGTATGGGGGTTCATTGGTACATGGGGAGATGCATAAAAAATTTCAATTTTGCATTTTGCATCGTTTTTTACAATTACATATAAGTGAAGCAACTTCTCATGTCATAAGATAACCTTTTATTAATCGTGAATTTACATAACTTTCGTCCAGGCGACGGGTACTCAAACTAGTGTTTATATAATGTTTTTATGACACAAGACTAACGATACCGCTTCTTATTAAGTTAAATAACTCCGTGTACAAGTCCACGGAAAGAATAAAAACCAAAACAAAAAATGTACAGACTGAAAAAAATAATCTTTACTTCAGTTTTCTCTCTAATATCGTTAATCGCCAAACTGTCTTACATGTAGTCGTGACGTTATCAATTTAAAGAAGATTAAGCATGAGCTAGATTTGTTTTATTTTTCACTTAATAACTTTTTCAAATAAAATAATTTGCCGTTTGCAAATTTATAATAAGCAGACGTTATTGTACATTTTTTCGTGTTTCGAATAACAAAACCAACTATGTAACTGCCATTGAAAATATCATTTTGGATGTTATTTTTAACTTGAACACCTTGGTTTCAGCTCCGCAGATGTTCTTCACCGCCAGAGGGACAGCGAAATGGTCGCACAGGAAATGTC